CTCGAGTCAATAAATATTAAAATAAATTCACCAAATTCAAATGTCCAGGTTTTATTCAAGTCAAGTCGTGACATGTAAATGAGCTCACCGATGCTATGAAGTTTCTTACAAAACAACGAAATGACAAAAATAGTTTTGGTCAGTCTATAGTATTTCACGAGTTTCAGCAATGTCTCTCTGATATGTTGTAGAAAATGTTTATAAATGTTATGCACAGTGTAGAAATCGTTCTGTAATGTGTTCTAAAACGTATTAAATTGAGTTTCTGAATTTTTCATATTTTTTGAAGTTCTGTTCTAGAATAGGATTTTCTCGATATTCATAGTTTGTGTTGCAATCTATGCTAGTTCTTAGGACGGTAAATTATTCACTTCAACTGACATTATCAATTTCGGTCGAAAAATAGAGAGATTGTGCAACTTGGTGTAGTTTTATGGATGAGAAAATTATAAAACTATGAAACAAATCATTCTGTACCCTCGGAGAAAGGTTTTTTTATGCTTTTGTTTTTTTATGCTGTCATACTTTACATCAAGTTTATTACAGAGTAACAAGATGACATGAGAGTTATATTCCAGTGTGATCTGTAGACCAAAATGAAATAAAACTCTCAAGTCATATCTCTACTCAGTAATAACTATCATGCAAAGTTAGACAGCATAAAGAGAGGAAATCTTTTTGTCCAAGGGTGTACGTATTACAAGAGAATCTACGCATGATTTTTTCATATATTTAATTTCTAAGGAAGAGTCAAAGAACCGATTTGAAAATGAAAATGACCAATATAAAATCTGAAGCTGGTATACGTTTCCTATTTATTTATCTGCTGAAAACTTGGTGAACTAGAAACATGATTAATCACTGTATGAAAATTGCCAACAAATTTTAAAAGAAGATTACATTTGAAACACTATATCTACCACAGGTTTTACATCAATAGTATCTCGTTATAATATATGAACTATTTCCTTATTGCATTCCTCGATGATTAAGTGAAAGGATGGTGAAGAAGTATGTTTCAAAATAGATAGAATAAAATAATCATCCTGTTATTAACAACAGCAACTACATTGTGCTTCACATATTAATTCCGCATACATTGCCGTAACAGCTTTCTTGAAAAACTTTCATATTCTTTTTTTTTTCTTTTTGAAATTAAATATTCGTCTTAGATAAAAAAAAATGAATAGCAAATCAAAATTTAAAACATTGGTTATTCTTGATCTTGAAACAAGTGGATTAATTTATAATGAACCCAAAATAATTGAATTAGCTGTAATTGCTGTTCATATGTAAGTAAAACAAAACCTTTATATTCATTTTTTTCTAAGAAAAAAATTTTTTTGTATAGTTCAGCATTATATGAAATGAAATCTAATGAAGAATTACCACGAGTATTAGTAAAAATGATGAAGCAAAAAAATTGTGCGATATTTTAAAGTCTTTTTTGCTTTAATTAGATTAAATTTGTTAAATTTTTTGTATCCAAGAAAAACAATTCATTTTAAAACAACAGAATTATCTAGTAAATGTCTATTTCAAAGAAATCATGTTTATTTATGATTTATTTTAAATTTGGATAATCATATGTTAAAAAATTATGCATCATTTTGTCATCAAATAGTAATTGCAATTGAATATTTTTTAAATGATATCCAAAAACCATTATATTTTGTTGGTAAAAAAAGAAAAATTATTTGATTTTCCTATATTATTTAATGAAATTCGAACCGTATTTCTTACTAATAATTCTACTTCAATAAACCAAATAGATTCATTTTTTCAAACAAATCATTCATCGTTAATATCAATAGCATATGTTGATTCACTTAATTTCTTTCGTGAAATAAATCGATTAATGAATGATGATAATATTCCTGGTAAGAAAGATGTAGGTAATAATAATGAATCTAATTTTGCTTTGATGACTTGTTTCAGGTGGAATTCAAAAGAAACAAGGATAAAAAAACCAAGAGTTTTTTTTGTTGGAAGGTGAATAATCATGCATTGATAGCATTGAAAGAGACCGGAAGTGAGAAATAGGAGAATAGTAATAAACAGTTTCCATTCTTTTCTTCGATCTTTTTGTTTTTATTTCTCAATGTTGATATAATTACTCTTTGTACATTTATGTCAAACGTTTGTAACCTTACTTTTACACGTCTGTTTTTTTTTCATTTAAATCCATCAGGAAACGACTACTGTTATTTTCCAATCTCCGGCCTTTTTTTTTCTTTCTGCGTCTTCCTTTTCTTTTAGATGCCATGATCAATTTTTTTTCATTTGAAGTTTTTTACTAACGTATGCATATATATATTTCATGTACTCATTATTTATTATAATCTAAAGCTTTACTATATATCTTACTATGGACAATAACATTCTACTAAAAACCGATTCATACAAAATTTCACATCATCAACAATATCCACCTAATACAACAACTGTTTTTGCTTATTTGGAAAGTCGTGGTGGTGATTATCCTGAACAAGTCTTTTTTGGTTTACAATACATACTAAAAAAACATTTAGTTGGACAAATAGTAACAAAAGAAAGTCTTGAACAAGCAACTCAATTTTGGAAAGAACATTTTGATTATGATATTATTGATAAAAAAATGTGGGAATATATTATTGAAAAACATAACGGATATTTACCTATACGTATAAAAGCTGTACCGGAAGGAACAGTAGTACCAACTAAAAATGTTCTTATGACAATCGAAAATACAGATCCAAAATGTGCATCATTAACAACATTTTTAGAAACAATATTACTCCAAGTTTGGTATCCAATAACCATTGCTACTAATTCTAGAGAAATAAAAAAAATTCTAGTAAAGCTAATTATTTATATAATTATTAAAATATGAAAAAATAATTTTTATTTTGTATTTAGTTAAAAGGATCTAAACGAACAGGTGATCCGTCATTAGTCAAAACACAATTACACGATTTTGGTTTTCGTGGTGTATCATCATATGAAACGTCAGCAAGTAAGTAATAACTACACAATGAATCTTTATTATTATTTTGGTCATTTTCGAAAAAAAGGCTCTGATTGTTGTTTGGATAACTTTTGATAGAAATAACATAAAAGCCTGAGGCTTTCACCATTCAAGAGAGAAGACCCTGAACCGGGCCGTCAATGTATGTCGAAAGTTGATTGTTGGCCAACCCCTGATCAATCAGATTTGTTCTCTGCAGTGATGTTGAAAACAATATTCTGAAGTCATATTCCATTGTATTTAGACTTGGAATGTGACTAATCGATAGAAAAAATTCTTTTCTTTTGATCTACACAAGATCTAAATTCCTAGCACGTTTCGTTCAAAAGTTATATGGCTTTTGTGAAGACCCCGAGTCTGGAAAATTGATCTTGGAAGACTCGAATTGAGACGAATGGTGACGTTTCTTTTTCAGTTTCAAAGTAGTCTGAGATCATTATACCACTGTTTTTGTACTTGAAAACATACTGAAATAGTAGTCTCAAATAGCTTTGAAACTGAAAATGAATTTTACCATTCGACTTAGCAAGATGAATCACCTCTGTCTTGAACATTTTTGAAGTCTTCCAAGGTCACTTTGTTGAAAATGGAGATCTGCAGAAAAGTCATATAACTCTTGAACAAAACATACTAGACAGTTGGGATATGTGTAGGTCGAAAGAAAACACTTTTTCTATCGATTAATCATATTCCAAATCTAAATACAATGGGAAATGATTGCAGAATATCTTATCTTTTGTATAATCTTTGCAACGAAATCAGCTGAGTTGTCAGTTGTTATTATTGATATGCACAAGACACCGCGAAACTGTGTCATACATGATTGATTAGTAATAGCATCTTATATGAGGTGGAACAATAAAATGGTTT